CCCATACCCTGAAAAATGCATATAAAATATTGAAAACAATTTCAGCAGTATCACTGTATCCTTGAAGCCTACCCAAAAAGAGCCCAGATCCTTTGGGAAGAGGTTGGGAATTCTTGCTGTATAAAGACTTTTTCTTTACTTGCCTCCCTTTTACTTCTTCTTTCTCTCTTCTTTTCTTCTGCAAATCATGTCTAGACACGGCACTTTAGTAACTGAGATGATTTAAAACTTAGCAGGTGAGAAAAGGAAGAGATACATTCTAGATTTGTATTTTACCAACTTAAATTCTGCATCTGTTGTTTTGCTGAGTCCAGATCTTCCACCTAGTATTCAGAAAGTATGACTACAGGAACAATTCCCAAAAACAGCAAGCTAGCAGGCAGTCAGTAATTGTTGACCCAGGCCTCCTGAGGGTGGGCTTTTGCACTTGCAGTTCCTCAGGCCAGGAATACCCTTCCCCAGATCTGTGTATAGTTTCATGCAAAGTCTCAGCTTAAATGTCACGTCCTGTATCAGTCAGCGTTCTCCAGAGAAACAGAACCAATAGGAGATACATATTGATTTTAAGGAATTCGCTCACATACTTGAGGGGACTGGTAAGTCTGAAATTCATAGGGCAGGGCAGCGGGCTGGAAACTCAAGCCAGAGCTGATGCTACAGTCTTGATTCTGAAATCTGTAGGGCAGACTGGCACACTGGAAACTCAGCAGGCATCGATACTATAGTCTTGAGGTCGAATTTCTTCTTCTCTGGGAAACCTTAGTTTTTGCTCTTAAGGCTTTCTAACTGATTGGATGGCGCCTATTCACATTATGGAGGGTTATCTCCTTTAAGTAAAGTCAACTGACTGTAGAGGTTAACCACATCTACAAAATATCTTCATGGCAACACCTAGATTGGTGTTTGACTAAATAATTGGGCTAGCCAAGTTGGCATGTGAAACTAACCATCACACCTCCTAAGTAGCTCCCTCTCCAACAAAGCCACTCTCTATCAAATCACCCTGTTCAGGGTCTTCAAAGTGCTCATCAGCACCTGCAACTCTTTTTTTAGCGGTTTGACTTCTGTTTTCTTGTTGAATGTCTGTATTCCTTAACTAGAATATAAGTGCCATGAGAAGAGAGATTTTATCTGCAACGCCTTCCACTCTCTCCCTAGCATTTAGAACAGCGCCAGGAAACCAGTAGGCACTCAACAAATTTTCTGAATGAGTGAATGTGACAGGACCAAACTGATGATTAGAGATATTTTCATCTGTAAGCTTTAAACCTACACTTTTATACAAGTGTGCAGCTTATTATGGATAGTCTGAGGAGCTGTGTGCCAAACTTAACAATATCTCTTATGGAAATTTCTTCTAAAATGTACAATTGTTGCTATATTTCTGCTCTGTCATTTTTCACAGGTTTCAAAATGTGTCATAAAATTGTACTGGGTCAGGGACCATGTGGGCCACCAGATGATAGAGAATGATTTATTTCCTTGATTGCAGAGGACTGAAGAAAGGTTGCAGAAAGAAAGCCAGTTCTTACCTCTGAGCTCACAGAATATGAAAGCTAAAAAGGACCTTGAAGTTCATCTAGTCCGGATTCATTTTTAATTTAAAAATCCATTCTATACTACCAATGACATGGTTATCTGACCTTAAAATTTTCAGTGATGAGATACTCACTATTTTACAAGATAACTTGTCTCACAATTGGACAGATTTTGATAAGCAAGGTCTTCCTTCTATTGATTCAAAAATTTCCTTCCTGTAACTTCTGGCCCTTGGAGCAACAAAGAGTAAGTCTAGTTCCTGTGCTGAATTATGAACTATCAAATACTTAAAGACATCTAAAATATCCCCACTTAGTTTCCTCTACTTCAGAATAAATATCCAAAATACCTATAGCTATTTCTCATTTGTCTCTCCTTCTAGAACTCTCATCTTCCTAGTGGATGATCTCCGGACACAGTACAATTAGGAAACATATGTTCTCTAGGGCAAAGTGGAATTATGTCTTATTTTTAATTATGATTTTAATTATACATGCCCCATGAAGCTATTAAATGATCCACTTTTGTAAGTCAACTATGCATAAAATGTATATAATTATGCACTGTATAATTACCAATACCAGCATCTGGTATTAATTGTAAAATGCAAAAGCAGATTACTTTGATATAATGAACCCCCATCCTACCAGAAGTCTGTATCTAAAGAACATCTCATAAATGACAATGGCAGCTTGCTATTAAAGGTCCATGGATGCAAACATGAAACATTTTTAAGATAACTTGGGCCATCAATTTTCACATGCACAACAATGTGGCTTCTTTCCATTTTAAAATTCATGGAACAAGGAATCATAAGAACAAGAATCCTGAAAGCAAAGCGTCCCATTATAAAGTGCTACTAGAGAACAAGAAACATTACCAGCTGAAAATAACCTGAGACTAACTAGTAAAAAAGAACTGTATTTTTACAAAAAAGTTATGTTATAAGTTTAATTGAACACTTTTCAACTAAAGTAAAGTAAAATTGAAGAGAATTTGCCTATATTCAGACTTTTTTGGGAGCTCTAGAAATTCGTTCATGTTGTTGGTTATAATCATATCAGTATTAATCACTAAAGAAGGTAGATATTATTAGACATGGTACTGAAGTCCAATAATTTTCTAGTAATTGCTACCGCTGTTGTTAGGTGCTGTCGAGTCAATTTAGACTCATAGTAACCCCATATGACATAGGGTTTTCTTGGCAGCCTAGGAAACCCTATAGGGCAATTCTACTCTGTCCCATAATGTTGCTATGGGTCGGAATCCACTCGATGGCACACAACAGCAACAACATTTACGGAAGCAAATCACCAGGTCCTTCTCCTGCAGAACTGCTGGGTGGGTGCAAACCTCCGACCTTCTGGTCAACGGCCTAGCACTTAACCATTGAGTCATCAGGGCTCCTTCTTGCTAAAGACCAACAAATGGATTAAGTTTACCCTAAGAAAGTTGATGAATTTCAATTCACGTGTCTACACTTATATCTATACAGTAACCATCTGTTCTTTTAACACTTAATGGTAAATTTTAATGTGTTTGAATATCCACAAGTATGTTTGCATTTAATATTGTCTTAAAAATATTAAGTACTGTTTTCTATGTTATGAAATGAAGTCTTACCAAAACTACTTTTAACACACGTTTCACAACAGAAATGTAAACAAGATTTTAACTGTTGCATTTGTTGGCTGATCATCCCTCCTATAGACACTAGCCAATATTCAGCTTTCACCCAGAAAAAAAAAGATGTAGCATAATCACTGAGCAGCCCAGAGACAATGACCCAACAATCCTTTGTTCAATATCTATACATTGTATATTCCTTTTCATTCAAAGTCAAACGCTTCTAAACATAATATGTTTAAAATGATAACATCCAAAAACAATGCTCCTCAGTAGTGTGAGACATGTCTAAAGGTATTGTGACTACTTTTTAAAATAAACAGCCTGAGTTATTCAGCTGTTTCAATGTATCTGAAACTCTATTTGGGGGGCATACCTTCAGAGCCCAAAGCACTTGGCTTTGAATATTCTTAAATGTGACATATCTGTGTCCTTGGAGATGATTTTTTTGTCCTTGGAGATGATTTTTTTTTAACAGCCAAAAGTGACTTATATCACATACATGAATAAGATGGACCACATGTAGAGGTCAAATACAGCTTTCTTTTTCAAAGCAGTTAATTTACACAATAAATTAAAGAAATTGATTTTTGTATATCTTTACAACTGACTTTGGAATAGAGTTTAAGAGATGCTTTCAACAATAATAGCATTCCTGGGGGGAAATGTATAACCTCTTAAGGTTATATATCTTGAAATCTATAAAGATGTGTATTTTTATATTTCCTGCTGTGTTTTGTTTTAATGACTCATTTCCTTATAGCCATACTATACATGCAAGTTGTATCATGAATAGTGGTGTTACTTTATGTTAAGCCAAAGGTTTTCAACAGGGCTCTGTGGTACTCAGGTACTTCCCTGGAGATATGTCTGGAGAAGGATCCCAGCCCCCTCACCCTGAGTAGCTTCCTTTCTCTCTGATTTACATTTGGAGCTTCCATTCTAGATCAACTGCCCAATAAGACTTTCTGCAATGACAGGAATGTCCTATATCTGCATTGTCCAGCACAGGAGTCACTGGTCACACATGGCTATTGAGCGCTTAAAACGTAGCTAGTGTGACTGAGGTACTGAAATTTTAATTTTATTTAATGATTTCAACAGTGCAGTTCTAGATTTTAATTTGAAAACAGGATTCCACTGCTAAGAAAAAAGTTTAAAAATCACCACTAAAAATGAAGGAATGGGGCAGTTTCTCCTCATAAGGAATGCCAATGATTGTGACAAATTCTCCCAATAAACACAAAGGTGCAAGTTTCTTGGGTACTGGATGACTGATTTTAGTCCACTCAATATAAAACTTCATTAAATCAGCTCACTAAAACTAACATCACTAATCATTAGCCAGCAGGGAGAACTCAAAAGTGGCACAGCAGCATATTCTCTAGAGAGTGGGTTTTTGTTGTTGATTTTTTCACATACATTTAAGGCTACGTGGAGGCCCTAAAACACATATTCTGCCCAGGAACTCTAAACCTCTTCTTCATGAATACTCAGGGTAAGCTAAATACTCTGCATGTGTCTGTTTGCAAAGGAAATGCCAACAGAATTTTGTTCTAGATAATTTGGTTCTAGCTTAAAAACCAATTAATGAGCTATTCAATTCTAAAATATGGTCTTCACCGCTTTCCTTTGTTAAAATGTGCTTAGTGTCCAAATTTCTATATGGATATTTTTGGCTTTATCCTGTTTCATCATATATCAGAGAAAAAACTTAAGGGACTTTATATTTAGACGGAAAAGGAAAAATTTCAGGGGCACTGTGATGATTCTTTACTTAAAAGTTATTATAAGAAAACTTTCATCCGTGACAAGTTAACCCCAGACGGCCTTACCTCCTGATACAGGTCACTGAGATCTTCCTGGTGGGCCTGTTTGGAACATCCTGGGAATTCCCTAACACAGCAGGAATCTGGGGGCCAGTCCATCTCTGTCATTTCCAACCAGTCGGTGAAATACACGACTCCGCAGCACTTAAACTGCAAAAGAATGACTGGTTAGACTCATTCTACTATAAAAATATTTTCTTAATGTATAGGAGATTAAAAGTTAGATTTCTTAAATTTTTGTACCCAGAGCTAAACCCACTTCTGTCATCACCTAATGATATATGTACGTTCTATGTTGCTGATTGAAATGCAGTGAAGGAACATCCTGGCTAACCACTCCATAATGGAACAAGTCTGAACAGTAATTCCCCTAACACATAAAAACAGAACAGGCAAGACTGAGTCTTATTCCCTAACTGCAAGATCCTCTACAAATGATAACATAGCAACAGATTTAATACATGTTATAAAAAAACAAAGAGCTGAAATATTATCATTATCATTAAATTCCTAAATACTAAAGATTAGGTAATCAATCTATATATTACCTAACCTGTTGCCATCAAGTTGATTCTAACGCGTAGCAACCTTATAGGACAGAGAAGAACTGCCCCACAAGGTTTTCAAGGCTGTAAATCTTTTTTCTTTTTTCCCCATACAAAAATTTGCACATACATTATTATATAATCCTAATTGCCTTCCCCATACTGTGACACACACTCCTCCTTTCCACCCCTGATTCCTCACGTCCATTCAACCAGCTCCTAACCCTCTCTGCTTTCCCATCTCACCTCTGGACAGAAGCTGCCCATTTAGTCCCTTGTAACTACTTGAGCTAAGAGGCACACTCCTCACAAGTATCACTTTATATCCCACAGTCCAGTTCAATCCCTGTCTGAAGAGTTGGCCTTGGATATCATTTTAGTTCTGGGCTGATGAGAGAATCCAAGGGCCATGCTTTCCGGGGTTCCTCCAGTCTCAGTCAGACCATTAAGTCTGGTCTTCTTACTAGAATTTGAGTTCTGCACCCCACCTTTCTCCTACTCCATCCACGGCTCTCTGTTGTGTTCCCTGTCAGGGTGGTCATTGGTGGTAGCCGGGCACCATCTAGTTCTTCTGGTCTCAGGCTGAT